GCGGACTTGGAGCTCGGCGTTGTTTTGGATGGCCGTCATGTAAAACTGGACGGAGGGCTCGCCGTATTCTTCGATGAGAGTCTCAATGAGGGAGATACCCTTCTGGTTGGCCGAGACTTGGGCACGGAGGTCGTTGATGTTGTCTGCCAGGGTGCGGGTACCGCTGCAACCGGGGTATTGGGCAGGCTCTTTGTAGAAAAGCTCGACGACCCGCTTCTCGTTGAACTTACCCTCGGTGACGAGTTTCTCGCTCTTGATGGAGGCGCCTTCTTGCCAGAGCTCTCTGGAATGGGGAGGCATGCTGCCGGCGGTAATTCCGCCAATGTCTGCATGGTGTGCTCTCGATGCGGCATAGAAGAGGATATTCTCGCCGGCTTCGTCGAACGCGGGCATCAGCAAAGTGACATCCGGGAGATGTGTTCCTCCATATGAGGGGTGGTTCGAGATGATGACGTCCCCTCTCTTGAGCTTGCCCTCCCAGATTTTGGCTTGCGTGCGGACACAAGTAGACATAGAACCTATTTGGTTTTAGCTGACATGAAATACAGAGTGGTCGGCAGATGGGACGTACCCAAATGTACTGGCAGATGAGGCGCATTGGCAACCAGCCCGCCAGTAGAATCGAATATCGCGCACGAGAAGTCGAGTCTCTCCTTGACATTGGTACTGACGCTTGTCTTTTGGAGGGCCCGGCCCATCTGCTCTGCGATGGCCATGAACCTATGGCCAAAGATGCTGAGCATGATCGGATCTACTTCGCGGTGCCCTGAGGCGTCGGACGACCTATTTTCCTGTCAGCTGATTCTCACAAGCAATAGATCAGATAACTGACTTGTCCTTGTCCCCATCACTCTTGCTCTCAATGATAACGTGAGTCTCCAAGACCAGGGCGGTCGACTTGGGCGTCACAACAATGGTCTGCGTGCCATCCGCAAGCATAGCTGGGCCATTGACCACGGATCCCACCTTGAGATCGCTGAGCTTGTAGATGGGTGTGTCCACACGGCCAGCCTCAAAGTACACCTTTGCCTGCGAATGTTTCTTTTCAGCAGAAGCTTCCCGTCGCTCCACCACCTTCAGCTGCTCATCAACAGACTTCTCCTCGTACTGGAAGCTCCGGCCGATTCCGCGCACCCGGACATCGTCAACGATGATATCCCGCTCGTCCAGGGTAAACCCAAACTCGTAGCGATGGTGCTTGACGAACCCGCTGCCGAACGCCCAGTCGTTTCCGCCGTACAGCTTCTCTGCCTCCTCCTTGCTCGGCTTGATGATCATGAGTGCAGACTCCGTCCCTCGGTACCTCATGTTGAGATACTCCTCAAAGACAATCTCGTCATCCTCAAAGCCCTGATCTCTCAGGGCCTGTCGGGACTTCTCCTTGAGCGCCTCCATTTTTTTCTTGAGGCCCTCCACAACCTCCCCTTCGTCCTTCCAGACGGTGGAGTCCGGCTCCTGTCTCTCGTCCACAACATCTGCGAGGGCCATGCCGTAGGCTGACAGAACAGAAGAGTACCGGTGGATGAGAATCTGCTTGATACCCAAGGACTCAGCGATAGCCACAGCATGCTGACCACCAGCACCACCGAATGTCGCGAGCCTGTGTTTCGAGGAGTCGTGACCCTTGGCCTCGGTGATGCTCCGGATGGGCCGGGTCATGGCCTCGTTGGCAACGGTGAGGAATCCGTAGGCGACCTCGTCGATGGCCATATTCTTCCCAGTTTCCTTGTTGATCTGGTCTGTCAGCTCCTGAAGCACCTTTCGGCTGGCCTCAGGATCCAACCCCTCGTCTTCATTCTTGCCGAAGATTTTGGGAAAGAACTCAGGCAGCAGACGTCCAAGAAACAGATTGGCGTCTGTGACGGTCGCTGGCCCCCCTTTTCGGTAGCACGCTGGCCCTGGATGCGCGCCGGCAGATTCAGGTCCAACCACAAACAAACCATTGCGGAAGAACAGCATCGACCCGCCGCCGGCAGCCACGGTGTTGATGTCGAGCTGTGGTGACTGGATGGTGACACCCGCTGTTGTCGTCTCAAAGGTATGGTCGTACCTCCCCTCGCCATACCTCGACACATCCGTGCTGGTACCTCCCATATCAAACCCAATCACCGGGATCCTCGTCTTCTCATCGTATGACGTAATCGCGTACCCAACCACGCCGCCCGCCGGCCCTGACAGAATGGCCTTCAACCCCGTGAACTTCTCCACGTCCACCAACCCTCCATCGCTCTGCATGAACTCACACCTCGCCCCCCTCTCCCCCTTCTCCCTCCCCACGCTCTGACTCCCCAGCCCGCCCTTGAATCCCCTCTGGAACCCATCCACATACTTCCGAATCGCCGGCGTCAGGTACGCATCCGCGCACACTGACGTCGCCCTCGACACCAGCTTAATCATCGGCATCAGCTCATGGCTCAGCGAGATGTGCTCAAACCCAATCTCCCTCGCCACCTCCCCCACCATCTTCTCATGGTCCGGAAACGTATACCCATGCATCAAGCACACCGCCACGCTCCTAATGCCCCGCTCATACACCCCCCTCAAGCTCTCCCTGATCGCCTCCCTCTCGGGCCTCCTCAACACCCGCACCGCCTCCCCCGACAACCCCATCACCACCTCCGCCGTCTGCGCCCCCTCCGTCCCCACCTTCACATCCACCCGCGTCACCCTCCTTTCCGGATCCTCCGCATAATCCTCCAGCGTGACCCGCTCCTCAACCTCCACCACCTCCTCATACAGCACATCCGGCTTGCGAATCGCCAGATCAAAAATCTTGGGCCGCGACTGGTTTCCAATGACGAGGCAGTCCTTGAACCCCTTCGTCACCACCATGGCGATCTTCTCGCCCTTGCGCTCCAGCAGGGCGTTGGTCGCGACGGTGGTGCCCATGCGGATGGACTCAATGTCGGCGGTGTCGAGGGCTTCGCCGCGCGGGATGTCGCGCTGCAAAAAGTGCGACATGACGCGGCGGATGGCTTCGAGCGGGGCGTCGGCGTAGTTGGCGGGGTCCTCCGAGAGGAGCTTGATGACGATGGAGGTGCCGTTGAGGGTGCCGACGCAGTCGGTGAAGGTGCCGCCGCGGTCGATGGCGATGCGGATGCCCCGCGTTTTTGGTTGGGGGGGGGCCATTGTGTTTTGTGAGGTTGTGGGTGGTGGTGGTGGTAGGTAGGTAGCCTTGGGGATGTGTGCCAAAGGGAAGGTGCGAGGCTGCGGGAGATGGGTGCCTAGGTAGGTATCCCGTATCTGAGTTTAAAGTGTGGGAAGGAGTGACAGAGGCTGCATGAAGTGTGAGGCTTGCTGATGGAGAAGAAGGAAAGAGAGAAAGCGCCACAAAGAAGCGAGCAGCAGAAGAGGTATATGCAGAAGAAGCAGCTGGATTATTCACCTCATCGACGGAAGTTCCGAGTGAATTTCAGTCAATTGTCGTCATGACAGCTCCGAGTTGAGCGGCTCAGGAGAGTGAATGCGGCAGCCGTGCCCCACTTCGAGCTACCCCACCACACCGATCGTCGGGAATCAAGGCCGATCAACTGACGCCACCGTTTTCCACCCCGCAGTCTGCAATCAGTCCGGGGGCTGACCCCGACGACCCCGTCGGACACTGACGCCGTCCGGTTCCGCCATCCGATCTCGATTTCATCTCTATTTCACTTACACCCCCTTCACTCCCCTCCCCCTTCCACCTCCTCAAAACCTCCCATTCCCCCTCCAACATCCCCATACTCACCACATCCCACCACCGCCTCTCAAACCACAACGCCTCCCTCTCCCTCCCCTCCTCCACAAACCCCAACCTCTTATACAGCCTCACCGCCCCAGGATTATACCCAAACGCCGCCAGCCCAACCCTATGCAACCCCCCCTTCCTAAATCCCCAATCCAAAGCCCAATTGATCGCCTCCGACCCGTACCCCTTCCCTCTTTCCTCGGGCGCAAAACACAGCCCCATTTCTGCGGAGCGGTGGTGATCTGCGCGATCGCTGCGGCGCGGCCAGAGGACTAGGTAGCCGATGGGGGCGGGGCGTTTTTTTGTCGTCTTTTCTGTACAATCTTCGTCGCTGGGGGCAAGGCAGACGAAGACGGTGAGGTAGGCTTTCTTGGCGAAGGTGAGGAAGTTGTCGGTGGAGGACTTGTTTCCCGGGGCGAGGAGCTTAGTGGAGACCATTGCCATGCCGGTGGGCTCGGCTTCGTTGAGGGCGTGGAGGTGGGTTTTGTCTTCGTCGTCGTCTTCCTGGCGGGTGTTAGTCTGAGTCTGAGTTAGGCTTTATATAGGGGGTGCGTACGATTGCGCGGTAGACGAGGCGGGCGCTTCGCCAGGCGTTGGTGAGGTCGATGTGGGCCATGTTGTGAGATTGATCAAGGGTTGCGACGAGGTCACGATCTACAGTTTGTCTGGATTCCAGGAGGCGGGATTAGAGGTTAAGTATCTTGCAGACGCGCCTACAAGTTATCACAAATACTCTCGACGCAGTAGCAGCAGGATTCTCACGCATCCTGCGATAGCTGTATTCCAGTTGTTGGCTCCATTTTGGAGTTCTGCAGCGTGAACAACCTGCGACACTTTGCGCAAGCACCCCTGAATCCTTACAGACGCATGCTGTCGCCGGATGAATCACCGCTGTCCCGTGTGGTGCTGGATCTAGCTGTCTGGTCCGGAGAACTGCGCGGGTGTTGTCGTACCTTCCTATTTGGGAAGTGATGGCGTTTCACCGCGTAAGGTGTGCGCGGAGGCTTGTTCCGACTGCATGTTCCTTCGGCGGGTACGTCCGCTGGTTGCGTGGTGGTACGCGCCGTCGTTACGTTGAAGAGCTTGACATGGCGATGGTGGCCTGTGTTGGGTCGAAAGGAAATATACATTTTTGATCTTCACCAAATCTTGCCATCAGAGAATGTGCTTCTGCCACTCCAGATGATTGAGTTGCCTTGGAGTCTTTGGGATCACAGCTGTCCCACGCCATCCCAACCTACAAAATGCCCCTTTTTCGGTTAGCATCTCCAACGGTTGTATAGTGTAGCGGTTATCACATCGGATTCTGATTCAGTCTTCATGACTCGACCATTCCGGTAACCCCGGTTCGATTCCGGGTACGACCTATTTTGCTACTCTGTCAGCTGAATTGACTTTTTGCTGTCGTGCGGTGGACGCGGCGGCATGACTCGCGATGCCAGCTGTTGGTGGAGAGTGGGCCCTGGAACTCATCGTCCGGCGAACTTCAGCACTGTTGTAGGCCAAGACACAAACGGAAAGGAGCAACACAACTGAGATGATCTAATCCATTGAGCAGCTATAAGAGATGCCTTGTAATGTCCTCCTCTGAGGATGTCGTCAAATTTCGTTTTTGCGGGCGTTTTCCGATTGAACTCCGATTTCCCACCAAATCGGCTCTCAATCCATCTACCCCCTGCGCTTGGTGGTGCTGGGACACGACGGGAAGTTGTGCGCGGGCGGCGAGCTGCTCTTTTCTTCAGTGAGATGCCCCGGTTGTTCTCTAGATGCACCAGGGATCCCAAACGCCCGGATTTACATTCACGGACATAGCTATATTGAGTTCGAGGTTGTCATCCAAAAAAAAATCAAAAAAAATAAAATCGTTGTCACGGCGGATATTCTCCAAGCCCATAGAAGCGAGCCTTAAGCCCCTCATTCGTCTTGGGGAGCGAATGAACAGATGACTGTGAATCATCCTCCATCGCCGTTTGCTATGTTGGCTGGCTCTCTTGGGACTGCAATGATCCCACGTCGCTACCGACTGGACTGGGTAGTCAGCCCAAGTCATAGAGTGTCGAGGGGCCGACAGTAATGACGGCATTGATCTTTCGCTTCGACATGCTGAACGCTGGACAGATGGTTCGGTCCTCGTAAGTTGATCAAGTTGATCAATGCCGTGGCGCCGTCGCTGAGCATGCGCGCCTCGTTGGGGAATGTAAGCCGTTCGAGCTGGAGAGGACTGCAGGTGCGATGTGTTGCAGAACGCTCAACCCAAGGCCGCTGCGCGTTGGGGCTGTCGGCCGCGGCGCTGGCTTCGCTCGTCAACGCCATTAACGTCAATGGCTTCCGCTCAAGTGGTTGTTGACTGCACATACTTTAGATTACCTCACGGGAGGCTGTGTGCCGTCAAGGCCCAACTGTTCCAAACCCAATTGAAGACCGGATGCAAACCCATTCCTTTCCTGGACACCAGCAGCGCTGGTGAATCGCGGTTCTTCCATCCGGTGGTGTATCTTTGCAAAGTTCCTTCATATCGACGCCAAATATTCCAGTTTCACTATTGAACGCCGCCCAATTGCAGGGTCTCTGGGTCTCGCGAACTTCACTGTCAGCATTTTCGAAGTTCATTTCTTCGGAAAGGGTGGAATTCTGATTTTGATTCACAAACCCTAATGCAATCCCATTTCCTGTACTCCAGAGCGCCGGTAATCACCTTTCCTCCATCCAGTAGCGCACCTTCCATCCCAAATCCGAAAGCAAACTATCGGATCCTTCGTGGCCATGCTCTAAAACCAAAGAAAAAAAAAGAAGTGATACAGCGGCAGGAACGCCAATTAGAAGCTCTGGTACGAGCTCGGATACGGATTGTGATCCAAGTCCTTTCCGTCGAAGGCCGCAACAAGGCGCTTGACTGCTGGGGAGGCGCGCTTGGCGATGGCAACCTACTCCTCGTCATCATCATCTTCCTCGCTGCTCGTCTCCTCGATGTTGGCCTTCTTGGACTTCTTGGACTTCTTGGTCTTGGACTTCTTGACGGGAGTCGAAGCCTCGGCGACAGGAGCTCCACCGCTGCCGGAGTCGGGGATGGCAACCTCGTGGCCGTCGTCCGAGAGAACCTGGACCATGGAGGGCAAGGCGTCCAGGAGGCCCTCGAACTGCGTGACGGAGAGGGAGATGCCCTGGGGTGGTTAGCGGCGGTGGGAGAGAGGGTGCGAGGTACGGGCTTACCTTCTTGCCGGGCTTCATCTCGCCGTCCGGGGCCGTGAAGTACTCGCGGATGTTGACGAGCGTGGTGCCGCGGTACTTGGAGATGGTGGCGCGACGGCTGCCTCCAATCTGCGGCCAAGTAGGTCAGTTGCTGGGGCAAGGAGATGCGGGGGAAGATGCGGGGAATGCAAGAAATGTGAGCTTACCTCCCAAAACGGATTGCCATCAGCATCGGTACCGGAGATGGGGGCGGCAGGCGGGATCTTGGATGAGGAGGGCTTCGGCTTAGTGTCCTTGGTCTCCTTGGTCTTCGACTTGGAGGCCTTGGCCTTCTTGACGGCGGGGGAGGTGAAGTCCTCGCCGTCGCCGTCGGCCTGGGCCTGGCGCTTGCCCATGTTGCGGTTTGGTTGAGTGAGATGAGCCCAGAGGCTGAAATATATGAGCTTGCGCTGGAGATCAGACGGAAGATGACGCGTCGTGACGCGTTTTTGGTTGCTGTGGTGGAAGAGAGAGACGCGAGATCACGTGGGGAAGTGATAAATCACGTGGGTTCTTTAAAATAAAATTATTGCGGGGACGTTGAGAGCCCCCCACCTTTGACGCTGGTGCATTTTTGGGTGAAAAGCGGAGACAGTGAGCGTCTGGCCTGCAAGCCCCACCGCTCCTTCCAACCAGCTCGCCAAGACGGCCGACCGTCCAGGGGCCCGGGAATTCGTCAATTCAACGAAGCTTGGCCTTCCCCTGAAAATTGGTCTCGTGTCTGAAGATCCGGGGAGATTTGTTCGAAACAAGGCACTCAACTGCCGGTTGCTTGCTTGCTGTCGCAAGAGAGTTGCGCGTTACACTTAATTCTCCAAGTTTGCTTTCCCAGCCTCGCCAATTATTTCTCCTGCAATCTATCAAAAGCTTTGTGCTGTGCCACGGAATCCGCCGCCCCCGGAGCCGATTCGATCCAGCAAGTCAGCGTCAGCCCCGAGGCCACAGTCGCCGTTTCACCGCCCACGCTTTGCTTACTCCGATCGCGACAGATCCGTCCGAACCAGCGATTGCCCATCTTGGGGAGCCAGATCGCATGAGACGAAGGGCGGCAAGAAGATGCGCGTAGCTGGTGCGCCACAACCGACACGATGGAAGATAAAATCAAGACACAACTGGAGGCCAGCGACCTGATCGCGGAAGCGCCCTCGAGCCAGGATAAGGCCCCGACATCGCCGGACGCTCCGGACGCAGCAGCGATCGCCAGAGACGGGGATCTCACGACAAAAATCTTTCAGTTTCTTGCGACCGCAACCCCCGGGACCCTCGGTGGAGTTGCTGCGGGCCTGGCTGCCGTCACCTACTTCATCCTTGGGCAGATCGGTCTGCTGTTAATAGGCGCCTTTGCAGGCGTTGTAGTGTTCATACAATGGGAGCAGAGGAATGTGGACGTGGCTCGCGCAGTTAGGGGGGAGGGCGGCCTTGATGTTCTCACGAGGCTGCTGGAGCTGAAGAAGAGCTTGGATTTGGAAAGGGAGGCAGATAAGGATGGCGAGGAAAATGCTCTGGTTCGCAGCACCGACTTTAATGGATTCCGGCCAGAGACGCGGGATGCCCTCAACGAGCTCGTAGAAGCGGTGGTACGCGACTACGTGAAATGGTGGTATTCGCCGATCATCCCATCCGACAAGTCGTTTCCGCTGGCCTGCCGCAAGACCCTTACCTCGTATATCAACAGCATCGCCAATCACCTGAGCAGGAAGCGTCCGGCAGATTCGTTCCTCGACTTCCTCACGAACTCGTCTTCTATCATGATCGTCTTTTTCTCAGAACTCTCGGGCGTTTTTGAAGGGCTGCCGTCCGATTCCAACCTTTCGGCCGCAGATGCGGTGTACAACTATCTTGCTGCGCACCCAGAATCCAACCTGGCAAACTTGCTGAATAAGAGGCAGCAGACCGCAAAGTTCAAGATGGTCTCTGAGGATCTGCTGGGCTTCTTGGAACGGCAGACATACGAGTGCGATCCGGCGAGGACGTTTCTGCGCGAGATCATGGCCTCGAGCATCTTGGAGACGACACTGCAGAAATGTTCCAGGGCAGAGTGGATCAACTCGTGGATTGTTTACCTGCTTGAGGCAGGAGAGCCCGACTTCAGTCACGCTATCGATGTGGGAATGCAGACGGGCCCCGGCACAGACGCCGTTTTTGCTGATTTGGATGGCAATGTTGGCAACATCGGCTTGACCAAAGGGAACAAGAACTCCTTTGAGCAGGAGAGGGCGCGTCGAAAGGAGTCCATGGCGCACAAAAAGAAGCTCAGCAAAGCCGAAGAGGAGCTGGAAGCCATGGAAGAGATCAAGCGACTGAATCAGATGATTGCGGATGAGGATGCTCGGCGGTCGAAGGTCTCCATGGAAATTCCAGGGTCCCCTACGATTGCCCAGGAGCCAGAGGCTGAAAGCACGACAGAGGCATCACAACGGTTGGCCGGTGCTTTCAAGCTCAACGCGGACGAGCTGGACATCCGGAAGGATGCTCCCGTATCGCAAACGGCGCAGAGCGACGGATCCTCGAGCAGCAAAAACGAACCAATCCACACACCGTTGACGCCACTTTCTACGCAGAGTTCGGTTACCCAAGACCAGTCACCACCGCCAAATAGGAGCTCGCAGTTTACGAGTTTCGATCAGATTGTTCCGCCAGTACCAGAAGGCGCCGAGGGTGAAGAAGAAACCCGCAAGCCACCACCCATGACCCTCTACCAGGCGACTATTACCGTCCTGGATGAGCCAGGTGGTCGAATCAAGGCCAAGCCTACATGGGATTACCTCGTTCAAATAGAGCCGGCAACAACTCACTATCCTGGATGGATGATTGTCAGAAAATACAGCGACTTTGAGCGTCTGCACGAGGTGCTCAGGCGCATCGCAACTATCTCGGGCGCTACCACTTTCTCGGAGAAATACAGTCAACTGCCGTCCTGGAAAACACTGACGAGGACATCACTGCGCGAGGCGCTCGAGTTCTACCTCCGAGAAGCATGTTGGTATCAGTCTCTTGCCGAGAGCGAGGGATTGAAGCGGTTCCTGGAGAGAGACCAGGTTGGGAACCCAGGAGGGCCAAAACTGAACCTCCAAGCCTTCGAAAAGATCGGCAAGAATGTCTTTGATGTCCTCACGAGCGCTCCTCTGGAAGGCTCCAA